CACAAACAGGTTCATTTAAAAGACAGTTATTGGGATATATCTTATTTGTACAATTAATGTACTCTACAGTCTAGCTGTCAAAAAAGTCCAGAGAAGCTGAAATGGTATGTGTCAACCATGTCATCTGCTGAAAGCAAGTAGTACATATACTGGTTAAGTTATGGTCAGTTTATACTGGTAACCAGTGTGCAAGTGATTCTAATACTGAACCTTGTGCTCTCTGTCATACTGTTGCATTCTTAAAGTGTTTCATCAGTGCAACCAAGACACTGGTCAAAAACAAACCACAGGTATGGTTGGACCACTGACAATTGCCCGGACCTGCCATGTTGCTGCCACAGATTATGTAAATGATCTGACCTGCTCATTGCATGGAACCTTACTAGGGGAAAGCTAACTGATTGTGATATCCTTCAGCATGAGAGAGTAATTCATTATGTGATAAAAGACTAAATGAGCTCATTTATGAAAATAAAAAAATCTGTCCTTGTTCCTGAGGTTTAAGCCGAACCTTTTTAAAAAACCAGTTTAGTCTGTTTCATTTTGTTTAGTAGAACCAAGATGGTTTTTATCACAAATCCACTACAGTAACATTATACAGACTCTCAGGAGTTTTCAAAATCGGGTACAAGTAACCAAGTAAACAACCTGGTGCCAGGACTGGTGAGATCCTGCCCAGCCTCTAGATGGCGCTCTAGCTCTTGCAGTTTGAGACAGCAGATGGTACATCCATAATCCCGCTCAACTGTTTGGCGGGCAAGGAAGTGGGTGTTGGCGTGTCCCCGGGGGTCTGCCGATGGGCCCACTGGTGTCCTGCTGGGCATCTACATCACAGCACACTTTTTCTCCTCCGAAGGCGCATTCCCATCAGCCTTCTCCATCTCCAGAATAATCCTTTTGAATACCTCCACAGCCGTCTGTCACAGAACACAAGCTGGATGTTCACCTTCATTCGCATTAATGAATCTCATCAGCCCACTTCCCCATGTTCTTGTCTGTTTTGTTGTATTGATAATTTACATTGTTAGACTTGTGGCAGCAATGAATTGCAAGAATGTTTGAAAGTTTTGACTGTTTCCTTGTGGTTCAAATGCAACAGAGTAAGCACGATGAGGCTAATTAAAAACCGTTACCAAGAATCACTCAAAAATAACCTTAAAATTCTACTAATAAAACATTAATATATTTAACGTGACATATAAGTGTTGCCCAATTAAAGCCGTGTTTCTGAAGTCAATGCTTCCCAAGCCATTTCTATCTAAGAGCTAACTGACCGACCCCTGAGGCTCACTGAGGTACAGCTTATTCCATACTAAACCCCCAGAGCACCTGGGAATGCCCATATACCTGATTCTCCTTGGCTGAAGACTCCATGAACGCGGCCCCCCAAGAGTCCGCCAGCTTTTTCCCTTCCTCTGGCTTGATCACCCTGAGGAGGAGCGACATGCCCAACGTGATGTGCGAGGCCCAGCGTCCAATGAAGATCCCCCGTAGCCTGCAGTAATTCTCTACCCTGTGCCTACAGATATGGTTAAGTTTCTTGACTCAGTTTTAAGTAACATCTCACCTTTCCATGTGAAGATCCTTCTTGTTCCCAACAAGAACAGTTGGCACCCTGAAAAAAATAGCATTTAATCACCAGTCTGATCATATAAATGTTGTACAAAGTGTTAATAAGACTTGACTTGTAAAACCTACTGGATTTTTCCAACCATGTCCAGTAGCTTGTCATGGAGGATCTGAACCACCTCAAAACTGCAGAGAGAACAGGACGACTATGCATGACTGCACGCACATTTTGTAACAATGGTAACATGGACACAGGCGTAAACATGGGAAACTGCCATCTGGCCTCAGATGAAATTTGTACTGCTATTGTTACTCGCTGTCAGATGTCAGACCTGAAAGACAAATCACACACCACAAAGCGCACAAATCAATGCAAAGACAATGACAGGGACTCACCTCTTCATAGAGGTGACTGAGTACACTAACACATAGCCATGGATGTCCATTGAGTGTGACTGGGGGAAAATTGAGTACTCATCCTGTAAAGAGACAACAGGGCAACCGCCTTTAAAGGCAACACCAGACCAAGATACCTCCACAAAACAAACCAGTCCTGCATCTATGTATCACAAACATATAACAATTTCAGGAGTTAACAAGCCTTGTAAATTTAGTCAAAATTGCTGCTGATACATATTACTCTTAGAATCTCAGTATTACTTCCAGAATTACCAGTTAACTGAAGAGTTATTTGAACTCCCTAGATATTTATTCACAACTGACAGATTATATAATAAAAACTGTACTGTAACATCTGCTGTGCCAGAATCATTCCATTATCAGCATGATATGGATGTAGCTGCCTCTGTGTTCAGACATGAGCAGATAGACTTTCACAGCAATGCAATTCACACTGAAATCTACACTTAAGTCTGATGATACGTGTTTCAGTCCCATTGCTGCAAATATATGCGTCTCATATCCTATGGGATTGCTTTTGCTGTCATAAATGTCTGGAAATGCTTCTTTGGCATTAAAAAAGGGTACCGAAAAATAAATTCAGCAGATACAACGGAGAGTCTCCACTTTTTCCTAATTTTAAGATTTAAAATGGTCATAAAATACGGAATGCTCCAACAACAAAAGGATAAAAAGATGCATACACATTCTAGAAAAATGTTACAAGGAATGTTTTTATTCAACACAAGTCATTTTCACCTTTGTGCTACACTGAATGGACACCAATTAATTTAACCTTCCCTACAAAGACAAATTTAGAAATTTAAAATTTAAGAAAATGTGAATCACCTTGTATCAACTGACAAAAGGATAACAACCAAAGGCAAAACAATGCATTTATACAGACCAGGAGCTAAAAGAAATATCACATCTAAAATACAGTAACAGTGAGCAGAAATGTCACTTTGCATCTTCCATAACAGAACTTGTATACCTGTCCTGCAGTATCCACCAGCTGCAAGCTGAAGTCCTGTCCGTTCACAGAAACCATTTTATTAAAAGCTAGTGACAAAGAAACAGGAAGATATAATGTCACAATAGGGAAAGGAGATCTAAAAGTGAGGTAAATACACATGTAAGCTACCACTGCAATAAAGATTCATAGATATAGCCACAATCCAAACAGACTACATTTTGTACACAAATAAGTCTTTTTTGATTTACTCCCTTCCCTAGGCACACACACACTGTTACTGTGATTCTCAAGGTATTTACTGGCCAAAAAACACATTGATGGATTGTGTTTCTGTAACTAGATGCCGCTGAAGATACCTACTGTTTTCAATGGTGGGGTCATAAGAGTCTACGAACTGTCCCTCCACAAACTGGATTGTAAGCGATGATTTGCCTGCAATGGAAGTCTGACACATTGGTAACAAAACACATGTAGCTTGGTCACACAAGTTCAAGACTTAAGCTGCTGGGTTGACTTTTTCCTCTCTAGAAGGTCATCATAAAACAGTTTATGTAAACCTAAGTTGTCTGTGGTGGGTTGCAATACAATAAGTACTGTACAATTGTACAACCCATAGTTATTCCGGTTTTTATTTTCGGTTTGGTTTTAACGTGTATGTGGGTTTTATTGCAGTTTTATGTTTCAGACTTATTTTTAAATTACTTTAGCTTTGCATCGTGTTTTAACTTTATCCGTGACTGTGGCACACTGTTGCGTTCAATGACACGGCTCCATTTCCGCTCTGCATAAACATCTGTGCGGTACATACATAAGTACGTGTGTATGTATGTACTTATACAGTGTGTATATATATATATATATACACACACATATATATATATATATATACACACACACATATATATATATATATATAT